GGCTATTGAATAATTCTCTGTTGGTGATCCGAGTCTTAGGAATTATTAACGCGACAAGGGTAAGCTGATGAAAAAGTGATGGGAGGGATGACCTACTCGTATTCATGTTCTATAAATGATACCTTAGAGTCTCTTCTGATCCGATCTCATTTCACAAATTTTGAGATTAGCCAAAGAAATCAATCGATTCATTACACAACTGACCCCACTGTAGCCCAGTAAACATGTAGTTTGTACGTTTAGTTTGTAGAAAATGTGATCTCACAAACCAGAGCAGTGTAAGGTGGTTGGAAGAAAAAGCTTTTTCAGACCTTTGGTGATAAAATAACGACATACCCACACGCGCTTGCAAGCACATAACTACATGGTACAAACTTGGTTCGCAGCGGCATGGCTTGTCGAGAGTATTAAATTTGAGATCTGAGGCAGTCGTGGCGGCAGACTAACTGGGGTGGATGCGAGCGCGAAAACATAGCGCACACACGATACGTTTCACTAATGAGGCTTCATTGTCTCGGTGTGCATAGGCCGCGATAACGTTCTCCCTCCTTTAGCTCTCATCTCTTTTTTTCTCTTTGACTCGACATTCTTTGTGCGGTAATGCACATACGATTTGTGTATAGGTACTACTATTTACCATCGCCGTTGACTGCATTGTCATTTTTGTTTTTGTACAGTTTTAGTATATATTATAGGCATGGAGGTAACAATTTAACTTTACTGTGAATTTTCGTTGTTGTGATAAAGTCACAGGTTATATAATAAAATAGTATTTAATGATATACAATGGTGCTAAAAAATGTGTTTATGTATCCTGCAAGTGCGAAAAAACTATAGCAGGCATATACGCCTGTAAATATAATATGATTATATCAAGGCAAAGCATATGATTAAAACCGCATGCGTGAATTTACGGAAGTTTGCGTAAAAGCGGTGTTTTTATGCATGAAAAAATATTTTCCAGCGATACTTGGTCAAAGGCTTCGCTCCTTTTGTGCACAAAGAGTCGAAAAACTGGACGACAAATTGCCAACGAGGCTGAAAAGGTCACGGTAAGTGCGGCATTAGCTTTTTTTTTCCTTTTAATTTTCCTTTTTACCGCATACATAAATGATATTGTGAAGATCATTTGCACAAGTGATAAAAGAAACCAGAAAATGATTGAAAAAAAAAAAAAATGTAAGAAAACGATTTACCAAAACACGTGTTAGCAATCACAAAAAAAGAACCCAGTTTTTTTTACAAACTGACTTTCCGTAGTATTAATAATTATATACAGCTTGAACAAGTTTATTTTGATTTACGTGCAAAAATGTAAACGATAACACTCGAGCAGTCCCGTGGTGAAGTTTCCCTTTATTAAATATGCAGCCCACGCATAATGCAACGGCGCATTAGAGCTGCATCTAAAACCCAATACCCATCCATAGCTCAACCCCAAATTTACCAAAAAATTTACGCAAAAATGACTCCGTTGGATTGCTTTACATGCAGCGAACAAAGGAAGGCCCGTTTGATTATTGCTGGCATGAAAGTGCGATACCGTACAACAGACCCTCGTTACTCTTGCAAAGCTACACGAAACACCCACGAGTTCAACATTATTATTTAGAAACTTGGCTTTATCACAATATCCATCTCATCTCCCTGTAACATTATACACGTATAATGCACCGAAGCTTGCGTTGTATTTTGTATATAGACGCACCCAACCGCAACATAACGAGGTAGCTGCACATCCAACCGAGAACGTGTATACATATATACATACATGTATCCTGGAATGCAGCCGCATCGGCAACCGTTATATACACATAAAGACGTCTTGATATTTTACCCGAATAAAGCTACGAGCCAACCAACAACTCGCCCCGACTGTCTGCCTACCTCGTCTACCCACACGTTATATCGTCGCTCATGCACCCAACGTTTTCTCGCGCCTCGGATCCTGGGAATATTGTATGTGCGCGCGCGCAACTATTCGCTCGAGAGTTACTTTACATCGGCTTCCCTCCCGACAGGAGCTTTGGCTTGACGAGCTACTAGCTCTCGGGCTTCGTTAAGAAATAAATGACGCTGCGGTGTAGTGCCGTCTCCGCTTCTTGTCTAATTAATGTATATATTTTTGGTTTTTTTTTTTTTTTTAATTTTCATTCTATGTACATCCACTGGAAATTAGATCGATTGTGTCTACCATCGTTGAAAGGTCCTTTTATTTCAGGAGCTTTTTTAAAACGTAAAACTATAAAGTCAAGTTTAATCGACAAGCATTTTTTTCACGCGATTAATTTTAACACAAAAATGAGGTGGAACCAAATCGTACCCAGTGTTTTTTATATATTTTTTTTTTTTTATGACTCTGTTGAACGTAGACGTGATTTTCAAGGATTATAATTTAACGGCCTGGTTTTGATAGAAATTCCCAAAATACGTGATTTCGCCAGTGACATGGTGTATAATGTCAAGTAAGACCGAGGAAAAAAAGAATAGTAATAATAAATACATTACCGCTTGCGCGGTAGAAATTGTACCGAGGTGAATTTCACATTTGTGCGTACATTTGGACTCCCCTCGCGAACTTTATGGTTGCATCATGAACCCGTTTTGAGCTGCAGCGCCTTTACCATTATTATTCATGCCGCAGTGAGATTGTAAAGTTTTTCAAAGTCTCGTCCGCAGTACTGTGCGTGGGACACCAGCTCTTTTATACATGGGCTATGAATAATAGGTTGATTTATTATTATATTGAGTTTGAAAAACTATGTCGAGAAATGGGTCGTATTGAAATCCTTTGGTTAATTACACGCATTCAAAGATAAATGATTGAATTCGAATTTTTGTGTAATTTCGATGTGTGTTTATTATAGTATTGATGATAGTAATGTAATTTTAAATTTAGGAAATCAAATGATTAGTTATCGTATCATGAAAATGATATTTTTAAGCGACCTTTGATCTCGAGTAAATTTTTAAATATCAGTGGTGTATATTAATTTTTTAACAATAATTGAAGTAAAGTGATAATTACTGATCCACAAAACTTTTAAATAAAAATATATAAGAAGAGTCATGTTCTTTCGTGGCCAAAGTTTTGTCCTGTTACAACATTGCATTCCTTTGACGTTGTGGATGTTTTAATTTTTTCCAGCGACTCTTTCAACAAGATAATTTTCAAAGAGCCCAAAGCTACAGAGTGGAAAACTACGAAAAGAAACAAACACGTAATTAAAAGTTGGGCACAACGCGACTAATTCCATTACAAAGGACAATGAAACAAATGAAGGCGAATCTTCAATATCGGGGCTTGGAAAAACTTTCAAGAATCCTGAAAATATCTGTGTGACAATTTTCCTTTGATTAAATCGCAAATGAAAGACAAACCCTTTGTTGAATCATCGAAATTTCAATCAAAGAAACCGAAACGCCCCGACAACGCTTTGATCCAAAGTCTCCCTCATTGTTTTCCCGTGATCCCGAAACTATGAGCATCCAAAATGTCCTCCAAGACAAGTAGGTAGTAAGAGAAAAGCACCGCAGGATGGTCGTACATTTCCCATCGGGACCCCATTAATTAGAGCTCTCGCGCGCCCAAACGCATGTATATATAAACCCGGAAAGCAGGTCACGTAAATTCCGCAAAGCAGAAAAAATGGCAAGGAAGAGGAAGGAGGGAAGCCCACCTATACATTTCCTCCGATCACGCGCACATGGAGCCAGGAAGGATCCAGCGATGCGTGTCACACGGAGCAGCGAACTTTGGAAAAGGAAGGTCGAATGTTACCTAAGAACCCAGCCATATTCCTCAGGAGGCCAACGGTGCACAGCTTCGTGATGGTGGTATAGTTGTATATACCTCCAATGCGGAGGCGGTACACCACAGCAGTGGTGCCGGTTGTGCGCGCGGGCGTGTGGGTGCTTTTCTTTCGTGGCGTATGGGCGTAAGGTACGGGGGAAGCTCGCGTGTCCTGTTTTACAATTCCCGCGATGTCTGGCAGTCCGAAGGGAAGGTAAGGAGGGGGGGAATTTCGTGCCTGCCCCGGGGAACTCGAGACCGAGGAGACCGCGAGCGCGGGAGTATAGCCCGGCTGCCCTCGATTCTTATACTTACATATATACGGAAGACCGCGTGCGCGTGACATTTTTGCCGAGGACACGGGGTGAAGCGAGAGGATGGGGGGGGGGGAAGAGTATAGCATGACAGCGATGACGATGCGCCACTCGGAAAATATCGGAATGCCGTTAGCTCGTGCGTGCGTGTGTGGCTTATCTGTATTTTTTCATCCTCCCTTGTACATTTTCTGCTTCATGGGGTATACTGCCCGGAGTGTCCTCCCTGACCTCTCCACGCTCAACCCCTGGGATCGAAGGTCTTTTTTTTTTTTTTCCTCGATAACCCTCGTTATTTTGATCAATGGCTAGGGGCTTTTGATGTATGTGGGACCCAAGTTGCCCCGATTTTCGATCGTAATTGAATGTAATGATTTCTCCTTCCGCATTGATCATTTTGAAATGTAAACGAACTCGCACAACGTGCTTTATTTCTTCCAAAGTGTTTGTTGAAATGAAAAAAAAACTCACTGATGTTTGTACCTCAAGACTATTTCTAAAGTACTTGGTGTGGCTCAAACGAGATTATTTAATCCTTTATTGAAAATATAAAAAATACGATGTTAAAACGATAATTCCTATGAGTTTAAAGCTATGCAGAATAGCTTTTGAAAGCTTTCAGGAATCTCGCGCTTCCATTGTTCAGCAAAGTACAGCTATAATTAAATTTAATTCCAGCCGAGTTCATCAAGCTCCGCTGTACACATTACATTCACGTATTACATAACGTATCGCACCCGTCATTTCGTTGTCTTCTTTTCACAATGATATCCCACATTGCAATGTATTTTAAAACTCATTAAAACATATACAAAATATGTACACATGAAGGTTGTACGCGTTTACAAACAGCACACAAGTACAGGTATATGTAACAAGTGCCAGAAACTCACCAGCGCAGCTGTAGCCGTTTTTGTGGAGTATGTAGCCATCCCTGCAGTCGCACTCGTACATGCCGTCGTGCAGCTCGTAGCACAGCTGTTCGCACGGCGAGCCGTGGCCGCATCTTCCTGCGAACAGCCAAGAAGATAAAGGGTAGGTATAGGGAACAAGAGACACAGGGCGCGCAAGCTAGCATTAATTTTACCTCTACTTCTCCCTGCCAAGGGTATATAGTTACACACACACACACACACACATAAACGTACATACATACAGCTATTTTCTCGCTGAGCGAGCGAGGGGGCTTGGGCGCGAGATAAGGCGATTTATAACGAGGACGAATGACGAGCAGACGGTGGTGGTTCTGGAATTTCGGGAGAAACGGGAATGGCTGTCCGTGGGGGGGAGGCGAGGCGCGATACAAATACCGGAGGTGCAGAGGAAACGTCGATATTGCGGCGAGGGTTTAATAAATGCTTCAAAGATGGATGTCCCTCGGTAAAATCCCCCCCCCCTCTCTCGGGGGAACGGGAAGAAGTGCTATGCAATTTCATTTGTTTGCCCGGCATTTTTTTAATTAGTACGGGAAGGAGATGGAAAGGGGGTGTATGCGCTGTTTGCACTGGAAATGGCTTTTGTAATTAGTTTTTTCTGTTAATTTATTTATTTTTTTAAATGGATTGTCAATAAAGAGATGGATTTATTGAGAGAGCGGGTTGAATGTTTTCAACGTTAAGGAGTCGATCGAGAATCCAATTCCGTCTTAATTATAACCGCTCAATCATTTTTCTATTGCACTATTGCTCTACATCGTTAAAGTACACCAGAATCTAATATGACAAAAAATTGTAATTGTTTCTTAACCCATACCATCCTACGATCTTTTTTCGTTGGTGGGCGGGCTTTGGGGTGTCGTTACATTGAATAACTACACAATGAAGACTAAGCAGAGGACATATGAACATGTTCCTTCAACAGTAAAAAAATGCCATTACCCTTATGAGAATCATCATTCAATAAGCCGATGTAGGTCCTTAAAATTTGGGTCGTCAATTCTTTGCACTTGAGTCAGGTAAATTTTAATATGGTAACATTTAAAGAGGGCATGAGTCTTTGAGTACTCTTCAATACAGGGATGGGGTTGGAACCAATAGTTCAAGTTACGCAATTTTTTTTTTAACGTCGGTATTTCAATTAACCCTGTCAAAAAGAACGACATTGAAATTACCATTTCTAAAATAATTGCTGTACGAGCAGACACGATACTACCGCACGAGTAAACCAACTGACACCCAGCTTCAAGCAGATCTACATGTGGGATAGGCCCACGAACTCATATTATATGTGCGAGTACACCCTTTTTTATAAGCATTCGGTCTCTCTCCTTCCTGGCTTGTAAAGTGCTCCCCGAGAACGGGTCTCTTTAAGCGCCAAGATGAAAGGAACACGCCGACGACGCCAACTCGCTCCTATAGCCCTCTCTCACCCAACCATTAGCTCCAAAAGTGTCTTGCTCTTCTTTTTCTTTGAGCCAGTCCCGCGTTTGCCCCCTGGTTATACCACCCCTTGTGTATATACATATTTACGACCATGTACCACGAAACTTTATAATTTGCCCCTTTGTGTATACACATATATATTCGACTCTACTTTCGTCACCAACCTCTTCTGCCTCTATATGCGGTACGTAAGAATCCCTGGACGCTCCATAAACGAGCTGGCTACCGCAGGTAGAGATGGTATAGTGGTCGTGGCGTGAGCGCGAAAGATGGTCCGCTTAATGGCTCATTCTGATTCTCGGACGACCGCTTCCTCTCTCTCGTAGCGAAGTTGAACTTCTTCGGCGGAGGGATGGAGGAGATACTACACCGGTATAATGGTTGCGCCAACGATTTTTTCGTCACGACAGGGAGGAGTGGAGGGGCTCTTTCTCTGCTCTTCCGATGCTTCTTTTGGCTCGATTTTTCTCCATCTAGTCCTTTCCACCCGCACCCGTAAACTCGATGGTGGAGCGTCATCTTAAATCTTCCTCTACCCTCCAACAATGCTGGAATTCTCGTTCTCGAGTTTTAGATTTACGGAGGAGTTGCACCTGCGCTTCTCCCCAAATTGCTGGATGCAAATTTTCTTTCAATTGCTTACGTGCATTCTTGCTGATTTCTTTTTATTTAGTGATTTTTTTTTTTTTCCTTTTGTCGTAGTCGGATCTAAACATGCAATAGCTTGCAACGATTGATAGGTTGGGTTCATCCTAATCTATAATGCACGCGTACATGATGTACTGGTTTCTGGTAGCAGTGGAAGACAGCGAAATTTGCATAGGAGTGCAATAATATCCTTATACTTCGGTAATTTAGACCGCGTCATGTGAAATTTACAGTGACACGGTGTGGAACAGTCGACGCTTTGTCCGTTGTTAGTTTCTCCGGCAGGTACACATGTATTATTCAGCAGCAGCATCGATCGGAGGAATGTGATGTGCGATACTGCGCCGGTTCGATTGCTTTTCTGCATTATCGGGTACGTGACTGCAAATGGAGTATAGACGAGAACCCTCTTTTGCATTGTGATGGTGTGTAATTATAATACCGATGATAATCGTCAAGATTGAAGGATTATTTTTTGGAGTTGAGGAAACGTACATATTTTCAACAACTCGATGGATTGTAGCATGGCCGAGTGGTGTATTAATTTCGCCAGAGTATGTATGAAAAGTGCAGTCAAAAATAATGGTTATTTCAAAGTTTTTACTCATCCCTGAACTTTTTTGATGGCTTCATGTTTACGCTCGGAGCGAATTTCATAGAAAAACTTTTTTGCTATCCAAAAAAACGTCCGTTTATATAGGCTAAAACTTTTAGTTTATTAAAAATAAAAAATAAAATGTTTACTGGACTAAAAAAACCTTGATTTTGTAAATTTTAATATTTTTCATGGAAGAGCGAAGTTATTTTTTTCAAACAGCCTCTTGAGCTTTCATTAACACGATGAAGCTGTGACGATCTTGCCTGCGTGTTGATCAAAAAATTTTTTTTTAAATTTTTCCTACATCGTTTTGCAACACTTGTGAAATAAAAACACAATTTTCCACTCCACGCGATTTTTTAATCAAGCAAAAAACACAGCGGTGCAACTCGTAAAGAACAAGGTTGGCCTATATTGCTTCGAAATTTCATTCGCCCCAGCGCTGAAGCATCCACTCGATATAACGAGGAACAAACGGACCTGCTGAATTATTTACCGTAGCGATCGAAGAGCAGCAGGCTTGCATCGTAACGCATGTTTGCGCATAAATTCGGCCAAGGCTGTGCACGTGCACGTGTACGTGTGTGCATGTAGTAGCACCAGAGCAGCAGAATTTCGCGGTTGGTCGAGTAAACGATGAGATACCACACAGTAAAGGGGGGTACACGAGATGTACTCATTGGTCAGTGCGAGCACGCAAGATGATAATGATGAGAGGACGATGGCCAATCAATACGTCTAAGGGCATTATGCGCGCACCCATCAAGTCCTCGTCCATCTCGTTTACAATCCTCCATAAACAATCAACTTCATTGTATATACGCCATGTATTTCGTACCGTACATACAATCCTAAGTTTTGTTTTTTCTAGATTAATGAATGCTTTTGCACTATGATTACCATAATTTTCACGTGATTCCCTTTTTTTAGAGAATAGGTACATTTTGTTGCGGTGTTATCGAATTTCTCAATTTAAATGATTTGCGAGGCCCCGTTGTTATTATATTGTTTCGAAATTGTAAGGAAACCGGGTGCGCGGCATACGTTATCAAATAATTGCAGACAAAATTTCCTGCTCCGTTAATAATTACCGTGCAATTATACGCGTGCATGACGGCAAGCTGGAGTAAAGGGCGAAATTAATATCGGAGAACTCGATTCCGCAAGCTCGGGGGAACTTACTGTTGTATGTTTTAATTATTGAAAATTATGTACACGCATTTTTCTTTTTGATTACTGCGTATTTCAAAAATCAAAAAAAAAATTCTTTGACAAAAAATCGAAATTTTCCAACCCAACAAATATTAAATAATTTTTCTTTCTCTGCTGTAATATGGACTGCTTTAGAAAAAAAAATTCATGACTTCCGTGTAGAAGAAGTACTTTATTGAAAATAAAACTGAAAGTTTTATGGTATTAAACATTACGTTTCAAGTGAAGATAGATAATAGTGTCGAAAAATCTTTCTCAGAGCAAAAATCAGCTGTTTTCATAGTCGAGTACTATTTAGCCAATATTCTCATCAGTTTCCATCATTATCCGCGACATAAATGGGATTTCATCTATACGTGAGGAGGAAAAAAGAAGAAAAAAAAAGTTCATTCGGCAGAGAAATCGCATTCCGCGAAAATACCGATGAAATTCAAACCTCGGAGATTCATTTCCTTTCGCGAACGCGCGCCTCCAGATAATCGTATTCCACCTGCCGATAATCAAAATTAATCCAGATTCTTGACACGCACTCAGTCTTGCTTTTCTTCCATTCGTATACGTATAGAGCGTTTGCGTCGTATCGCAAATGAAAATCCTCCCCATATAGTAATATAGGTATCGCTTATCCGATAATATACACATTCCACCATTCGCTGCATGAGTTGACAGGCACTCTTTTACATTTATGTACGTGTGTGCGTAAATTGGATGCACACCAGCTTCTACCTTCAGTGTAGTATACCTACAGACCACTTACATCGTGTTGTACAGAATAGAGGTACTCGAGGTCGGATGTAGAGATATGGAAAGGAGGAATGGGAAACATTGAGAAAATTCGTAAATCTCAATATGCGAGGTAATAATCTCTAGAGTCGCGATTTATTGCTGTGAAATACAATGCACAACCAGTTTTAATGTTGTCAAATTATAAGATTTGTAAAAAGAGGACAATCGCATCCTGCTTACTCTGATTGTATGTATCCATGTTTCCCCCCCCCCAAAAAAAACAAGTTTTCGCACAACTGTCCCCATCTAACAGTAAAAAGTCGTTGTTTTGAAAATGATTTTTGACCCAAAACTCTCCCTTTCTCTCTAAATTTTATTTTCCCGTAATCTTACGTGCAGCTCTTTCGCGAGCCGACGACAAAACTTTCGTTCGAGTCGCCAACGG